CCCACACCGCCTTACGGTACAATGGAGTAAACTAAGGGGAATTAGGATTAGAGGCTTAGAATGCTCAACTGCATTTCCAGAGTAGACATCGTTAAGAGAAAAGATATGAGTAACTTTGAGGAGTTGAGGGAGGCAGCCATGGGGAGCTGTGAATGGTGGGCTGCAAGCAGAGGRCACAGGGAACCAAGCACGTAGTAGRGACTRTAGAGATCTGTGTGGCTAAGATGAAGTGAAAGAAGGAAGTCTGTGGCATTCTGAAAGTCAAAWGAATAGGACACAGCAACTGAATGATCGATTGTCAAAGCTAATACGTCAACCACTGGGAAATGGTTGAGAACTGGGAAATGACAAGTGGATTTCAAAATGTGAAATTCATGGCCTTTCTACGGAGTAGTGGGGTATTATCCTTACCAGAGAGAGCATAATGGGGAAGAAGAGGAGGGGGATTGGAGAAATTAATATGGAAAATTCTTTGGATTTTTTGTTTGTTTGTTTGTTTAAAATGGAAGGAAAGACATGAGAATCCATTGGCAGACAGTCAGAACAAGGCAGGACTTTACACATTGGTTGGAAAAACAAAAGCATATATCAGTGTTAATGTGAAAAAGACAACATTCTGTTTGTAGTGTATGAGAAAAAGGGAATAAATACTAGACTGGTATTCTCCAGGAATGAGTAAGAGATCTAGGGTACAATTAGATGGCTTTTGCTTTCCACAGGAGCAGAAAGTTCCACCTCTAGGAACTGGGAGAAAGCAGACTATGTGGGATGCATGGTGTAGGAAGGCAGACTCAATCAGGGATATCTGTGGAAGTTCTTTTCTAATTGGCTCCATTTTCCCAGTTAAGTAAACCTGAGAATGAAGATAAAGAAGGAGGTGCTGAAGCCTTAAGGAGCAAGGAGAAGGTATGGAAAACRTCTCTAAAAAAAGAAGAGCAAATGGACTTGGGAAATAAAATGTGTGTTGGGTCCACAAAAGAGAAGTGATAAAAATTTGAAGTGAAGGGGCTGGGGTTGAGGCTCAATGGTAGAATGTTCACCTAGCATGTAGGAGGCACTGGGTTTGACCCTCAGCACCACATAAAAATAAAATAAAGATAAAGTGAAGCTAGCCAGTGTTTTTGTTTTTCTTCATCCACACTAGCTGTATGAGAACAGTGCAGACTAGACAGGGTGTGGAGATGGCTGGGACTTTGCCAAAGCAGTAAAACATCAGGGGGAAGGGCAGGGACCAATGTATCCAAGGAAGAGGTTACAATAATTGGCCATTTGGTTTGTAAGATGGGTAAGAATGGGAAAGAGGAYGATAAAGGAAAGGGAGACAAAGATGTGTTAGTACTATTGATATTTTAGAGTTCTATGTACATTCAAAGAGTTATTGGACATCATTCATTTTACAATTTTAAAATATGTATATTATAATCTCCATCATACAGATTAAATGCATAAGGTTTAGAGAGGCTATGTAACTTTCTCCAGGCCTATAATTCCTTAAGTTTTGGGCCTCAGAATCTCATTATATTTTTAAAAGTATAGAAYACCAGAAAAGCCTTTGTCACAGAGGTCTATCTACTGCTATTTTATCACATTAGAAATGAAAACAAATTTAGAAAATATTTAACTATTCATTTAAACTTGACCATCAAATCTATAGTAAATTAATAAAAAAATGGTTCATTTTAAAGAAAAATAGCTATAACTTCCAAAGGGAAAAATATAGTGATAATGACATTTTTTCATATGTTTGTAAATCTCTTTGATATCTGTTTTAACAGAAGATAACTAGGTTCTTRTATCCACTTCTGTATTAAATCTGTTGCAATATGTTGTTTTGGTTCAAGTGTTAGTGGAAAATCTGGCATCATATAGATAAGTAGTTGGAAAAAGAAGGACTATTTTAATAGCACTTCCGATAATTTTGGGTATGTTTCAGTGATAGTACACTAAAGCTACATGGGGTAGCTTCTTAGAGCTTAGTTGCAATGTGAAATCTTAAGCCACAGTAATGAACATTTCATGCAGTTACATTAAAATACATAGGTCTATTTTGTACATTAACCACCTTTTATCCATGCATGATTTTGTAATGTCAAATATCAGTCATTTGGAAAATATTTGTGCCCTGAATTATTCAGAACTTCTAAGGTTGGTGTGTTTTTTTAATATAGTCTCTGAAAAAAAGAACACAATTTTTAACTTTGTATGAGAAAAAAAATCTCTTAAGTATTGGGAAGCTATGCAATACATAATGTCAAATATTTGCCTTAAAATGACAGACTAGTTTTGTGCATGCACTAGAAGAGTAGCTGCTAAGTACCAAGTCCGAATAATCCTAGTTGACTGACAGTCATTATTTCAGGTGGGAAAAGATTTTTCTTAGCTGGAAATCCAACACATGGGTGCATTTTTTTTGAGACACATATCACATCTGGGTATGTAGCAGAAGTGCTCTATGAACATTTCACATTTTGTTACATAATATTGAMAGGACATTTATTCAAAGGTGGCTATTTTGTAAAAATTAATAATTATTAATGCTTTACTTAAGCACTCTGAATTTTTTACTGGTATCTTTAAGGTGATTAAATGGTGATGAGGAATATTGTTTGGTTCTAATACTTTGAGTTAAGAAGAGCCTCCAGAAATTTTATCTACCATTGCCTTATCACCACCAATGCAAATATAAATACATGAAAAGGGGAAGTAAAGTCTTAGTGTAATTACAAAAATAGTATTGAACTTGTGGACCCTTAGGGATATTTGCAGAGCAGATGTTGAGAATCATGTTCCTAAGACAAACCKTTGTTAGAACCTGTATTCAACCACATATCTGTCATATTCTAAATCTTGAAATATTAATTACAGTGATKCAGTGGCTTCAATCTCTTCCCCTTCTATCCTAGGCCCCATGATTTATCATTTTTGCTACCCTCTTGCCAATATCCTTCTCTTCCCTGCCGTCTTGTCCTTCTGCCACCTAACTCTGAAAATGTCTCATCTGAATCAATCTATTCCAATTTAGCTGCTAAGCATGCTAGGAAAAATACTTGGAATGTGTGGTATCAGCAACACATAAGCCCTTCACAACTCTGTTTGAAATTGGTCTACTTCCCCAATCCCTGAATATGGACAGATGCCATCTATATGAAAGGCAGGTTCTAAAACAGACACCCAGTCAATCTTACTTTCACCTGCCACTAGGTGGCAATAAAGCCACTAGCAAGTAATCATTAGAAAGAAGGTGGCAGATAAGCCTATATGTTTCAAATTATTAAAATCTACTTCTAGACMATTTGAATTAAGAAAACAGACTTTTGAGGTTTTTGCTATTAATACCTAAACAAGCTTATGTTTACATAGTGTTATAGTTCATAAACCTTATCTCAGACACTTTCTTCATCATAAGGCCCACGGACACTTTCTGTTACAAACCAATCAAGTACAGAGAGATAGTGTGTGCCTTTTAGTAAAAGGCAAAGTTAGAATTCAAACCTAAAGTGTCTAACTTAAGACAAAATTCCTTGAAGATGCCAAGATATAAACAATAACAAGATATAAGACAATAACTATATTTTATGATTGCTCTTTTAGAAAATGAGGCATTTATGTTTAAAGGTATTTCTGTGTTCTGAGAGAACTTCAATTCATCAGGAGAGCCAAGGGTTAATTTCATCCTAAATCAAGGCTCATCCTGTTGTGGCACATAAACTGCATCTGCATCAATCCTATGTTCCAAGATGCTTCTCTTGGAGAGAGGAGAAGCAGCTTCCTTACTGCTACTCTATCTTCTATTACTACTTTCACATCTAAGGTTAGTCTCCCGCAACAATACTCAAGTGCTTCCAGTTTTTCATTGTTCTGCAAATCCACTTTCCTCTTGCATTCTTCCAACACTGTCTTTCAATAAGGAAAGATCTGAAATAGCATATCATCTAATGTAGTGGTTCTAAACAAGTGTCCCCTGGGGCACATCTGGCAATGTGTACAGATATTTTTGATTGTCACTACTTGGCGAACAAGGCATTTACTATTGGTGTCTACTGGGAAGAGGCGAAAGCACAGTAGTAAATGTCCTACAATGTATACAAAACAAACTTTCCTCTTGGAAGATTTTTATCTGGTTTAAAACATCAGTAGGTCAGAGCAGTACRTATGAGAGAGGTTGAGGGCAAGATTTCCTGCACTTGGAAACCAGTTGTTATAAATCCCTTTTAAAACTTTCTAGGCACATAGCTACCAGTCTCTTCATGCTCTGTATCTCCCCAATAATTTCCTTTTTCCCCCCTTCAGTAATTTGATAAACCAGTGTGGGTTTCAATTTCCCCATCTGCATAGTGAGAAGATTGCAGTAGATGATTTCTTAGATTTCCTCCAGTTCTAGAATTTGACTTCTATAAACAACATGAAAGTTTTAGTATTTTGACATCATGCATTTCAAACTGAAAATATAGTCTATAAAATTATTTGTTGTAAAAAACACAGCTGCTTTTTTTTTAACCTCACTTGATTTCATCTAATAAACATATTATAATTACAATGACCAGAAGAAACATTACTCTTAATGGTCACGAACAAAATGTTTCAAAAGTTCTCATTTTAATTACAAACATAAAAGAGATCAGAAAAAAATGTGTAAATTTCAACCTTACTTTTCATTCTGTTCTACATGATTTGCACAGGGGCCATATTTGTATTCATAGACAAAACGTGGGATGTAGTCAGATGTAATAGCAATTACAAATGCATTGGTGATCACAGCCAATATGCCAATTCCTTCAAGAATTCCAAGCCAGATACCTGGTAGGAGAAAGATTAAAGATAGTGGATAAAAATTAACCAAATGAGAACCCTATAATCAATCTTATTTTGAAAAGAATGTCCTACTCATGTTGGAACCACAATTCTGTCCACAACTCAGTATAGTATCTCACTCCATCATGATTTATAAAGTTTGGTGATATATTGTTTGGTAATACATGATATATAATATTACATCTGGTACATATTTTTTCTATAAAGGGAAGGTGAACCCCATCTAAAAATATTTGAAAATCAGAATATTATTAGGGCCTGGTTCAGGTTCTGTAACARTGAGACAGAATACATGCACCTAAGATATTTCAAAGCCTAATATACAGAATTTGTTAAGGCAATAAAAACTATGAATAAAAATCTTTTAAATTCTACATCTTTAAGTTCTACATGGTTGTGCACACTCTGAAATGTCTATATTCAATGTGTATTTTGGTTTAATATTTGCCAAATTTCAATTTTTTCTTTTTATAGATTTTTTCTTTTACTTTTTATTCTAATTTTTTTATATATGAAAACAGAATGCATTACAGTTCATATTACACAAATAGAACAAAATTTTTCATATCTCTGGTTGTATGCAAAGTATATTCACACCATTCATGTCTTCATACATGTACTTAGGGTAATGATGTCCATCTCATTCAAGTTTCAATTTAAAGTTAAAATACACACACAAAAAGAGATAAAACCCATAAAGACTAGTTGACATTTGCTGCTTCTTAGGAGGCAAATCTGGTGTCATATAGACAAACAAATTAGCTTCTGATGTTGCATATCACATCAGTATGCTATTGATTATATTCAAAACTGATGTTTCAACTAGGATTAAACTTGACTTTAAAAATATTGATAAGAGATAGGAAAGGTAGCAGAATAMAACAGTTACTAATAAGGCATTATGTAAAACTGTGGATGTGTAACCGACGTGATTCTGCAATCTGCATTTGGGGTAAAAATTGGGAGTTCATAACCAACTTCAATCTAATGTATGAAATATGATATGTCAAGAGCTTTGTAATGTTGTGAACAACCAATAAAAAAATAAAAAAATTAAAAAAAACAAACAGAAAAAACTCAAAAAAATATTGATAAGAAAAAAGTTCTAGAAAAAATTACTCAGACATGCTAAAGGTGATTGGGTAATATGGTAACTTTGATTTCTCCTCCCCTTGTTTTTCAAACTCTTTATAATATACCTACATCAAGCTGCAATTAAAAAATTAAAATAAGAAAGGATTTTAAAGTTTAGCTAACTAGGGAGATCATAAGGCAAGAAATCAAAATTCATAAAATAATACTAAATACATAAAAATRTTTATTATTTTAAAAAATTTATGTTATTCAGTCAAAAGAAAGTAGTCTGGGAGAAAAGTGTTGAATATACAAAAGACCCTAAAATTTTAATGAGAAAATTAAAGGAAAAAAAATGGACAAATAGTACAAATAAAAATATGTTAGCGGAGTGAAAATAACTAATAATGTCTTAAAAAATTTTAATCACTAGTATTTTGAAAAATGTCCTTTAAAGAAAAGAATAAGATTTTTTAAATAAAATATAGATGGTCAAATACCATCCAATGTTATTTAAGAATATAATGAAATACTTTACATTGTTGTTGGAATGATTTACTACTTATTATTAGTTATTAACTAGTCAGATATATCTTAAAATTAAAATACATTTGTTTTTAATCCAGTAGGCCTACTTTTTGATCTATATTATAAATACACTATACTTATATAATGTATATGGATACATGATATAAAATATTTATCTATATATATTATATTTATTACTATTAAGAGAAAGAAAATAAATTTCTAAATGGTTGTAAATTTTTATCTTATATCTTTACTATGAATATCATAATTCTATTAAAATGAATTAGACTTATATTCTGAGGTGGAGAATGTTTATGAAAACCCATGCAGAATCCTATTTATGTATATGATTATATTTCTGTATGTTTGTATGAGCAAGTAAAGCACTGACAAAGGATGCATGCTGAACTGATGCACTGATTACCCGAGGTAGAAAACTAATGGAGAAGACAGATTATTACTTATTTCTTTTTACATATTTTTGTTTTTTAGCTTAAACAAAGCCACATACAGTAAAGTTAAAACAACCTATCTATTGAAAGTTACAATAAATGCTAATTAAAACTGGAATAGGGGCCTGAGGCTGTAGCTCATTGGCAGAGCACTTGCCTAGCATGCAAGAGGCACTGAGTTTGATCTTTAGCACCATATAAAAATAAACAAATAAAATAAAGGTATTTTGTCTATCTAGAACTACAAAAATTTAAACAAAAACTGGAATGGGAAGGGTTTTTAATCCTTTTTAAATTTATTTTTTACATTTTCATTAATGTGTTTTTATTGATTTAATAATGAAWTTAACAAATGTACCAAAGTTAAAGGACAGCAAGAGTAATAACTTTAATTGCTTAAAAGAATGAGTATTCTAAAACAATGAACAAAAGTACCCTGGGAATTTAAACTGCATGACATTGAATCTCTACAGATTAGCATATTTGAAACAGACTTTGGTAACTATAGAATAGAATGTATGTCAGAAAATTTAACTAAAAAAGGAATCATACAGTACTTTAAAAAACAAAATTCCCCCCAAAACAAAAGTAAAAATGATTATTTTTAAATAAAAAATGATTATTTTTAAATAAACTTGAATTTCCTATTTCAAAACTAAGGGTTATTAAAGTAGTATAAAAAACAAGTAGCATATSAATGGGACAAACAGATTCTAGAAATAATACTTAAGATTATACAGAATTGAGCAAAAAAGAGAATTCAAATAATWCCTCCAAAAAACTTGGATTATTTAATACTTGACTTAGAATAAACCAAACAACAGAAAAAAGAAAAACTGAATCTCAATTTCATCAATAATAAATTTTAAGCAGATTAACAATTTAAATAAAATCTCAAATGCCAACAAACAACAAATAAAAAGAGAATATTATACAGGAATGTCTAAATAACAAAACACTGAAAACAACTTGTGAAAAATCATGAGTTCTAAAAGGACTGTCACAAATGATAATATCTATACGGCACATAGGTGCACAAAACTTATATAAATTTTWAAAAATTTTATTTATGAAAAAGTAAATGAATTAAAAACCATCATTTTAACACTGTTTGCTAGATGTATATACATATACACATATATACATATATACATATTAATGTAGCAACGTTATGTATATATGTTAAGATATATGTGTACATAAACATGTCTATATCAACACAGAGAGAAAAATTACCAAATCAGATATAATGGCTGAAGTATATAATGCAATTAGAAAAGAAGAAATATAAATACCTTTAATTTTATAGTAATAAAAATCCAAGGAAATACAACAAGAAAATGATTTTTTTTTCCTCATTAGAGTGTCAAAGAGAGAACAATTTTAAAAATCCTTATTAAACACTAAGTGGCTTAGGAAATGTACATTTATATACAGATTGGTACAGAATTTCTGGAAAACATATTGTCAATATTTGTACCAAAATTTTATATGTACACGCTCTCTGAACAAATGTTCCATTCAAGGAATTTATTCTGATGAAATAATAGGACGGGGCTGGGGTTGTGGCTCAGTGGTAGAATGCTTGCCTTGCACGCATGAGGCACTGGGTTCAATCCTCAGCACAACATACAAATAAATAAATAGAGATAGTGTGTCCATCTACAACTGAAAAATTAAAAAAAAATAAATAATTGGACAATTTTTGTGTGAAGACATTCACCTCAGCATTGTTTATAATAATAAAATAATGAAGCAATCTAAATATCTCTATAGACTATTGATTTTAAAAAATGCCATATTGGAGTTTTGTGTAACAATTGTGTAGAATGGGGCACATTTGTGCATATTAACATGAAAAGATATATKAGAGAGTCTTTCAGGTACAAAATATGAACTAGTATATTTAAAATGAACTCACTTCCAACCAAATTATTATGCATTTTATTATTTTTAACCAAAAAGTATTGAGTCTTGTTATGGTTGGAAGTCTTGTTATGGGCTTCTATGGGAGCCCACAATAGAAGTTCACATTGTTTTAAGTGATCTCAAGCCATCTTTTCTTACACCATTTGTGCTGCTACAGCATAATACCGGAGGCGGGTAATTTTGTAAAGAACTAATATTTATTTCTAACTATTCTGGGAGATGGAAAATCCTAGATCAAGGTACCGGTGTGTCATGAGTGTACGATTTCCAGTTTCTGAAAGGGAAAATTATTGCTTCATTCTCTGGAAGGGACAAATGTTGTGTCCTCCCATGGCAGGAGAGCAGAAAAGAATGAACCCATTTCCTTGAGCCCTTTGACAAGCACTCTAATCTCCCATGAGCACTCACCTCTTACATATCATACCTCAATACTCTCACATATTGGTGATTAAATATGAGTTGCAYACCCTTTGGCATTAGCAAAGTGAAAATCATTTAATAAATTACCTATGTCAGTTGCTCGGGCTGGGAGAGGCCTCCTCCACTGGGTGACGAATTTGTATGCATCAAGCCTGATTTCAATGATATTGTTTAACAAAGCCAAAAGCGGGGCCAGAGGAAAAGCTGCTACAAAGATGGTGGTAAAGCCAAATTGCAAAACTGTCAAAAGAGAAACTAGTTAGAAAATGAATAATATAAACAGGGCATCATTTATTGAGTGCCTCTTTTGGGTCAAATTAGGAGCTTTACATAAATTGTCTTTAATCTTTTCTATACTCCTACAAAGTAAATATGCTTATCTCATTTCACAGTTGAGGAAATTTTCACTCATATGTGTTAAGTAAACTTGCTAAAGGGCACATGGCAAGAAAATGTTTAAAACTGCATTCAGAGATCTGAACTGATTTAAATTCTATGTGGTCTTCACTTAGATGTAATGAAGCATGAAGGAAGGGGAAAGAAGAAAACAGGGAATGAAGAGGGAGGAGGGAGGACAATGAAGAGTAGGAGCCTGGTAGGGAGGGAGAACAGGGAAAAGACACAGAAGAGAACAGGAGGCCTTGAAGGAAAATGCTTGGCTCTGGAACAGACTCAAGGGACCTACAGTCATCTTGACCTCTCTTTTTTTATAGATGATAAAACTGGAGGCCAGAGAAAAGCAAATGTCAAGTCAGTAGCCAGTAATTCTAACAGTTGGAATGGGAATCCTTATTTTTTTAACATAAATAAATAAGATTCTTGAAGAAGCTGAGACTTAGACTTGGATCTAAGCAAAGATTTATTGTGAAAAAGAATCACTATTTTCTTTGTAGGGGATGGAAATGTTTCTTTACAAAGGAATTGGCTTGTTTCATCAAACTATTTTGCTCAGAAGCTAGGGGCTCCCCTGTGAGAAAAACCCTCATTTGGCTGTCAGAGAACAAAAGGTGTGACCCTCCCAGGGACACTGCTCCAYACCTCTGGCTCTGCTGAGATAAAGATGCAGATGTGGTTTAGAATGCTTGGGGCTGGAAAGGAGACACATGTTTTCTTCTCTTGAACCAAAGCCCATGTGGCTTGGAAAACCAATATCAAGAAGGTTCTGCAGAATATTCTTTCCTTACCCATTTCTAAGTATTCATCCATCAGGCCATGGATGTTCATGGGCTGCAGATTCCAGTCATTTTCCCACTGAGGTATAGAGGCATCCTGTATTCCCCGCTTGATTTTATGTCGTGACCACCAGTTCTGGATCAGCCTACACCACAGAGCAGACCCAAGTATGCTGAGTTCTCATTTCAGCGTCGGACGCACAATCATTGTACATTAAGAAATGAGATATACTCTTGGGCTACATTAAGCATTTCTGAGAACTGATGAACTCAAATTTTAAAATGTTAAAAAAATTAATTCTCTAATTCCAACAAATAGCTTTTAATTTTTTTTTTAAATCTTAACAACCCTAAAATGATTTAGAATGGGAGAATAGACCCTATCCTTCCAGAACTCTCCTAGATATAGACTATAAGCATCTACATATCTATTAGGAATCCATTACCTATACACAAAGATGGTCCTTGATATTGATTAGACAAGCATCCATTTCTATGATTCTTTTTTCCACCTATACTTACACATTTTTATAGTACTTAAACTTCTATAGTACCTGTTATGATTAGGTCTGAGAACTTCATTGCTCATTATGCAACATTTCCTGGACTCTGTTATCTGTATATGAATAAAATTATGCTCCATGAAAAGTAAGTGAGCTATAGATGGGGCTTCAGGGGACCTAGATTCTAGCCCCCAACAYGCAGTGCATTAGGTATGATTTGTATCAAATCACATCTCCTCCTTGAGTTTGTAAACAAGAAGAATTTGAGCATATGAGTGATTATATTCTGCTATTCTAGTGAAGAATAATTGCCAGGAAGTGGATCTGTGTACATGAGGCCATTTTTTTAGTCATGGAAATGAAATGACAATGCTCTTTCTCTAGGCCAGGAGCAGTTTTAAAATTATGTGGCTCAAAATATCCTGGTCTGCATATATTGTGGATTCCTGGGTAATGAATTAAGAATGTGGCAAAGAACTACCTCCAGGATGAGATGAATCTCACAGAAGGAGTAAACAGTACTAGATGCTCGATTTCAATTAATCATGGACCTAAGCTTCATGTAACCATGGCTAGATTAAAACATCAGGCAGTGCTCCAACAAATGTTCCGTAGGGTTACTCCTTAGTGCTTTTTAGAGACGAAAAAGAGGCTGGAGGATGGAACTGASGCAGACCTGCTTGTTTCTATTTTATTTATTTGGGTTTTGCTTAAAATTTTATTTGAATACAGAGAATTGTGGTTAAAAGCTTTTTAAACCACAGCTTGATGGCTGATTCACTCCTGCTAAGTTTTCTTCAGTAAGGCCTTTGCCTAGGGAGTTGAAAAACACCAGCCAGATGTCCCCTGCTCTGGTGCCCTCAATAYTTGATACATGTGATCCAGGCTGACTCCTGCAACAAGTCCAGAATGAAAATGTGCTTCCAAAGAGCATGTTATGCATGGCACTCCATCCATCATGATGGCACAATTATTCTTGATATCAGAATAACTATTATGCTGTCTTGATGATGCTTATGCAATACTCATAACACGCCAGATCCTGAGCTACACAAGTTCCCTCAGGTCCTCTCACATGATGCTTCCCAAATCCTATGTTTCCATGTGGTGAATCAAGGACAGGAAGGGACAAGACAAACAGACTGGGATCCCTGATCCTCCATCCCTGATTCTCTCTTCATTTAGAAGAGATTTGCTTTAATCTGTTTTGAATTTTGAGGGTCTATATAAAAATCTCTTCACGAAAGAGTCCTGTATCTTACAATTAAGGTTGAAAATCCATTGGGTCAACTCATTGAGTCTTCATAAATTTTAAAAATGAAAAAATAGTCTCAAAGTGAAATGAATTTTAAGTGAAATTAGTAAGGACCAGAGAAGAAATTAGAACAAGGCCTGGGCAACTCTAGGTCTGTGCTCTAGGACTGTTGTAATTTAACCAATGCTATATGGCAAACTTCAGGGTATATATCATTTCTCCAACCCTCAGATCTCTGCTTAGGAATGTCCTAATATAATTTGTAGGGCCACGAGGGAAAAGTAATCTAAGTAAAATTCAACTTACTCAATTTTAATTTACTCTAAATTAAATTTAATCAAGCCTAAGCCACATATATGCTTCACTGACTAATCAGTCCTTTACCCATAGTCAGAAAGTACTGAAAATAGTCATTTTAAACTTTGTCTGATTAGGTCTCAAAGCTTCACTATCACATTGTTTTAAATGTCTTGCATTTAATGGTATATTGATGGAAATAATATTTTAATATGTATAAAAGTGGACATCTAACATCTCTGTCAGCATTTCACAGTTAAAACTTACCTAAAAGGACAAGAGTAGAATGCTATTATTTGATTTTATCATAATCAGTTCTGTTCAAATGATTTTTGAGGGGTAAGGAGGATTTGTAAAGGGTGCCAAATGTAAAATCATGCAGCCCATTATTCTCCTGGGAGTAACAACAATTATTGATCTGCTAGTAGTCCAAAGAAACCAGAAAAATGATTTTTATCTTTAAGAACATGTAATGTCAAAATCTCAAAAATAGCAACAGGTGCCTTACCATGTTGAACTAGTTACTCTAAATCAATATTTCCTTCATCCTTGCATCTGTTCTTAAGGGAAAGGTAACTCATGATGGTGATCTCATCATAGAAAGGTAAAATAAGAGACTCAGAAATGCTTATTTACTTTTACAGGATCATGCATTTAGTAGGCAGCCGAATGGGAAATAAAGCTCCTCTGTCTGTCACTTATCCTGAATGCTTAAGCACTAGCTGCCATCTCTCTCCTTCATAACTATATATTAAAGGAAGGTTAAACATGCTCACGGGTATCCCAACTCCATGAAGTTGTTCCATATTTGCTTCAAAAACATGATAACACCCATCTGGAGGCAGAGGTCTATCAAACAGCCACTAGGATGACACTGGAAAAAAACAAGAAGAGCAATAATGATCTGCTCTTTTTCCCACCATTAAATTGAGCAATAAATCTAAAGCTGAGTCAAACTGTTTCATGCATAAAGTAAAAAAAAAAAAGAAAGAAATAGCATGTGTGAGGACACTGAGAGGGAAATTTCTTAATAGTTATAATGTAATACTGATTAAAAATCATAACAGCAATACAAACAAATCTAACTTTTGATGAGTACTTACTATCTGCCAAGCTCTGTGTTAGGTATGATCACATTAGATAACTGCTATGGAATACTATATACCATTAACAATCATGTAGTAGGAGAATAATTCTATGGCACATGTTTATATATATATTGGTTTTTTAACTTCAGAATAATTTTAGATTTATTGAAAATTTGTGGAGAGTTCCCAGACATTCTTCACTGAGTTCCTTGCCTTTGCTCCTTATGTTATTATAGTATAGTTGTCAAAGCTCAGAAGCCAACGTTATTACATTGCAACTAACTAGATTCCATATGTTATTCACATTTCATCAGTTTTCCTCACACTGCTGGACAATTTCACTCAGCACACGCCACTGCATTTATTTTTCTTCTCTCCCCTTTTTCTCTGATTTGGTCATTTTTTATAACTTGACAGTTAGAAGATCTCAGAATAGATATTCCATGGAATGTCACCCAGTCTGGATGACATTGTCTGATGCTTTTCTCATGTAAAGACGGTGGTTTTGTGCATTGGAGAAAGATCACAGAGGTGAGGATTACATCCTATCAGAGCTACTTCATACAGAACATTACTGGCTATGTTAACCTATTTGATTGATGCAGTGTTTTCTAGGGTGTTTTACTGCAAAGCTACTCTTTTTTATTCTTTTTCTCTCTTTAGTCTTTACAAGTGAGCCACTAAGTCTAGGCCACTCTCAAGATGATAGAAAAGTGTTCAAGTCCACCTCCTGGAGAGGGAATACCTACATATATTAGAATGCATTTTAAGTGATAAAGGTATATCACAAAATAGTTTGTCAGTATGATCCCAGTGTTTTCTCCACTGTGTGCCTCTGCTTTTTTATATTTTCAACCTAAAAAATATAAGAATACACACACACACAAGTGATTTCAGTGAAAATTACAACCCATGTATTTTGCTTGAAAACTCTGCACTGTAGAAGCTATTATGGTGGGAAAGCGTAGGTCTGTTTCTTTAGAAATGAGCTCATGTCCTGCTCATAAGGATGATAGTCTCTACAGCTTTGATCCACAGTTTCTATTTCTATCAAATTGGTACTAGTAGGACTTCAAAAGGAACAAATAATTAAGATGCAAAAGAGTCTGCTTTCCCTGTTCCAGCCCAGTAACTTAATACTCTCTGAGCCAGAGAGGGTTTGCCAGTGGACATGCTTAGTACATGAAGAGGAATAAATTCACCTTTCCAAGCATGCCTCTTCTTTCTAAATGAATTTAGGACCCTTGAACTCTGCCATGTTCATCTAATAACTGTGTTCTGGAGAAGGTTTAAAGCTAAGTAATTACTAAGCCACAGAGTCAGATCATAGATCATAGTGGCAAAACGAAGCTCTTAAGTTTTGTAGAAAGATTTAGAGGCAAATTGACTTCCCTAAGGTCATGTAACATTGACTGGCCCTGTGGGAAGAAAGCTGTGGTCCCTTGCCCTCTAATACACTGCTTTATACTATGCTAGGATAAATTCTACATACCAAATGTGTTCTTTGCCTTGAAGTACCCGTTTAACACAATGTGTTATTGTGTAGGCCAGAATAAATAAGACAATCATAGGACCATGTGAATGGATTATTTCCCATAAAAGGTAGTAGGCCAAAGTGGGGAGGCTGAAAGACAGGTCATTTACAATTTTGTTGAAATGGAGTTTTGATGACTTTGAGATTTATAGGGAACAGAAAGGGATGTAAGGATGTTTGCTGGTTTGCCCTATTCACTAATGACGTCCTTGAGTTAAAAGTCAGTCTTTCAAAAGTCTAAAAGTCATTTCGTAAAAATATCCAACTTTGTGTAAATGCATGTAGATAAGTGGGCAGAAGTCCCAGGCACTCATCCCAACTGCACCATCAAAATCATATGATTAAGGACAAGCCAGAGCTCAAAGTTTTCACATTTCCTCCTGATGGAAACCTGGTATGAAGGGGGTTGATAGCCCCACTTTATAGATGATGAACCTGGGGGAAGACAGGACTATCAGATTCCAATACCCCTGATCTTTCACTTAAAGTTCTCTATGCCTTTGTTTCCTCATCTCTAACCTGAATGGAATAAAATTGTATGATAATCTAATGAATTAATGAATGAAAAGTACTTACAATTTCTGGAATTTGCTAGTATATAATAAGCACTCATAATAATATCACATATAATTTTTTAAAATTTAATATTGTATTTACATAAAAATTTTGTGACATAGCATATAGGTATAATATGAGATTCCCAAGTCCAGGTCAGCCAGATCATAGGTGTTCAAACACAAATTTTAGCATATTTTTCCTTCTTTATAATGGTTACCTGTAATTATGCCTAGGGTTTTACATGCACAATCCAATTTAATCCATCAATGACCAATAGTGATATAGCTACATGTAGCAGCAGTTTTTTTAAAAAAAGGAATGGATATTTATAGAATTTAAGAAAGATCTTGCCTTTGGGAGGGAAAGGATTAGAGTATAAACTGTCAGAATCCAAAGACAAAATATTTGTTTTATTTTGTGCTTACATCATATTCTTTAAGATTCCTTAATCTGTTCACCTCRTATTATCTACCACAGGTCCAGCATAGAATATGTGCCAATAAATATTTCTTGAATGAATGAATTCAGAGGATCRATTCTTATCTTATATTCTTTACATTTTTCATATCTACATTTACAGGATTTCTGGGGTATATTACAAGCCTGAATTTTTTCACTTCTCTGAATTTTTTCAAAGCACATAATACTTTCTTAGAAAATACAATCAACCACATAGCTCATATATCCTATGGAAAATGTTTAGCACAGTTATGAAACATTTTTTACTGACACCAGCATTATATTTTTTTCTGGGATTTTCAAATATCAATCAAGATTTCCAATAATTTCATGATAAAGAATAAGAATATACAATTAAATAAAATTATTGGTGACAGTAGCCCCAAAGTGGTATCAATATGTAGACCTATCTGGCTGTAATCACTGTGTAACCCATCCTACTCTTCCTAACTTCAGTTAAACACTCCTGAAAAAGTCAGCCTTGGGTCTAATGGGGTAAGTGATCAGACTTTAGCAATTATAATTCTGGGCCTTGAAAGAAAACTGCTAGTTGGACTTGGAGATTTCCAGGCAGTTCCAGAATCATGAAAGGCCTTAGTCTATCTTTGGCCAATACAATAATTCCTCAGTAATTGTGAGACAGAACTTTGGTAAATACTAGCAATCAGCACCAGGGTGATGCTAATTGTGTTATGCAGATTATCTCACATATATATGTATATGTAATTTGGCAGCCTAAGGATTACTGTTGTCAATTTAGGATGAGGGAACAGAAATTCAGGAAATTTAAATTGAGAGCAAAGAAAAAGATACAAGTTTAGTTAGCATTTGAGCCAAGTTTTTTATTAATTAATTCTTTTATAAAGCTTATGTTCTTAGGAAACTTTAGGCTTTATCTATGTTGCAATCAATTTCTAAAATGATCTGAGAAGACAACATTAATGTGCCCTCTCATGAGATTTGAGGAGCTTCTTAGAAACTAGAAATACCTCTAACCTCAGTTTTCTTGGGGAATCTTTTTTCTCTTTCTAAATCATAGCCTTCTATTAAAGATACTTTGTATGAAATTGGGTTTTACATTAGAATAATTAAAACGGTTTGAACTAGAAAAGGAAAAGACATTTTGGCTAGGCATGGTGGTACATGCCTGTAATCTTAGTGACTTGGGAAGCTGAGACAGGAGGATCATAAATTACAGGCTAGTCCTAGCAACTTAGCAAGACCCTGTCTCTAAATAAAAAAATAAAAAGAACTGGGGAGTTATCTCAGTGATAAAATACCCCTAGTACCAAAGAAATACCTTCTGACCAATAAAAATAGAATCCAGAAATACCAGAAATAGACACACTATAATATACAGAATATGATAAATATAAAATCTCATTTTGCAGAGTGAAAGAAATTCTTTTATTAAATGTGTCTTTCTTTTATGGAAAAAATTACTTCATTACTCTTTACATCAAAACAAATGCTTAATGTGTAAAACACATCACTCTACATCACTCTTTTAAAAATAATAGTAAAAATATGTTCTTATAGAATTCCTCTCAGTGAAAAAAAATATATTTTGGCATGGTACAAATCTCAAAAGCCATCCAAGCAGTGATTTTTTTTAGAAAATTATATACAATTTATAAAAAAATGTATCAAAGCTAACCTAAAAGAGAACAAAATGAAGAGAGATCTGCAGCAACTTAGTAAGATTACAATCTAATTTTGTTAARTTTGTAAATTAATAAAGCAGAGAAATAACTCAATGAAAATATATAGGAATAATACACACAAGTGTACATAGAAATTTAAATGTCCAACAAATATACAAAAAATATTGTTCATCTGACTCAAAGCTAAAGAAGCTAAAATTTAAAAAGAGAATCTTTTCTGATTAACAGATTGTTTAAAACAAATGTTTCTGTTGGCAAAAATCTGAGGAAGCAAGACTCTACACTGTCAAGCAATGGTTGGCCTTTTGAAGTACGATTTCTCAGTCTTAGGGAAAATATACAACATGCTGCAGTGTATATAACATGCAAAGATACTACTCCTGTACATTGTTTTCCACAGAACATACATATTGCAAATCAATAAAYAAATATGAGCCTTTGGCAGATATACTGGCATATCTATATGTTGATATTTTAAATAAGGTTTCTTCTGGACCAAAATTTCCCTTTTCCCTAACTTATCTAAAACTTTGGAAATCCATGCAATAGATAATACCAATTTCCAAAATGAGGAAATTGCTGGAGCTAAATATCTGTGGTTTGTGAATGGAAGAAAAGAATGTGATAGAAAATAATAAAAGAGAGTTGAGGTCAGAGTCTTGAGATTTGACTAGTCAAAAGCCATTTTAAAAATATGTGTAGTTGCTTCCTTTTAGAACCTGAAGGAATTCCTCTCTACAATGATGGGCCTTCCATATGCCTGGGCTTAGTATTCTCTCCCCAACCCCCAACCCTCCTATAGTCACTGGTCCATCTCTGTGCCCATCCACTCATCCACCCTCACAAGATTACTTACTTCTTCTAATCTCCACCGGTCAAAAAGTTTATTGTATTTTCCTGGATGGCCTACAAATCTGTTTTTTTTTTTTTTTTAAAGAGAGAGAGAGAGAGAGAGGAGGGGGGGGGAGAAAGAAAAATAAAATTAATTCAATAGCAGTTAAGTGAAGAACACCTGCTAACCGCCACACCAAGTATGTGTGTGGGTAGACATAAAAGTTCACTGGTGCAGTTTGTCCCCAGCTAACTTTTGTTATGCTTAGACGACATCCAAGTACTTGATTTAAGAAGGAAAAAGTGATGCATGAACTCAGTACCAAAGGGTCAAGAAAGTACAGACAAACCAACCTGATGGCATTTAATAATTCCACACATAGTTGTAATGTCTTCTGGACCAAGGTCAAGAATATTACCATAATGTGCTGAAAGCTTTGGTTCAAAATGTTTCAAGCATCAGTATGTTTCCATGACACTGGGTGGAAATTTTCATTGCATTATGTTTTTGTAGCAAAAATGTAAAAACAACAAGAACAACACTAAAATGATGATTTGAAGAAGTTTACATGTTGAGAAATTATAATTTGGAATTATACAAAAATGATTTCTTCTTTAACAAAATAATAACTGATGAGTAGATAGTCATAATTCAACTTAAGAATAGGACATACATTTTAATTTTTTGTGCCAACTTTAATTGGCAGTGGCTWCAGAAGTCACCTGAACATGCATATGATGGTCAATTAGGACAATCTTCCAAAGCAGGTTTCAAGAATTTAATATCTCTGTTAACAAACTGGCTAGGGAACTATTTCTTTTGGTTTTTACTCTGCAAAGATAACACATAGAATGTTGACTTACCTTCCCAAAAAGAAAGCGATATAGAAAATAGAACTGTTTAAATTGACAAATTGGAAAAGGAACATCTTCAGGGCAAAGCTGTTTTCCCATTCAGATTCTGTTCGTGGATATTCTAAAAAAAGCAATATGAACATCCYTTTTTAGTTCTCAAAAATATTTTAAACTCTGGTTTGCCTAATATTAACATAGTCACATCTGATTTTATTATTACTATTTTCTTGATAGATGTGCTCTTGTTTCTTAGTTATTAGTCATTTTTTCACCTTTTGTATTTATTATTTTTTCTTTTCATCTACATATGGCTGGATTTCATTTGTTGAAGTTCAGTTTGAGTTCCAGACTTCAAAATTGCAATTGTTTARTTGTTTACATAGGAAAATAAAAAATAGATATATGGAAATAAATTTGGAGATAAATGCAAACACATAATTTATTTTTGTATTCATTTTCTGATTTGTTTCTTCTTATTCTGTATTTTGTTAATTTTATCAGAAATCATCATGTATCTGGTGTTTTAATTTTTTATGCACTCTTTTGAAAAGTATTTATAGGTCCTCTGCAGAAAATTAGAACAAATTGAAATAATAAATGCCTTATGGTRGTTATTAAGCCATCTTTCTGTTAATTATGAAATTATAATAATCTCTAACATCCAAACCTTAAAATAATAAGGCAAGTAAAAAGCTAAAAAACACTTTAATTTAAAATATAATTGGAAAATATGTAATCAAATTACTAGCGAGTTAAATTTAAGTTTATTAAAAAATACATTTAGATATTGCAATGGTCTGTCTTCCTATTATCTTGCCTACAATATCAGGTCTTCCCTGTATATTTATTTTATGAATGAAGACATGCATGCCAAACATTATAACAGGAATTGAGAATGTCAGAGGAAAATGCATTTTGTGGCCTGGTCTTAAGAATTTTTTTTTTTTTTTCTGTTTCACGCTATAGGAACATTGTGGGATGTAAATTTGAGGAACCAGCAAAGTTTACACAGAAAGGAGATTTGAAATAAGAAAAGACCACAATCATATTAGAGGCATGTTGAGTGTTATTCAGTTGCTTTATCTATTCTGACCAATATTACAACATTCTCAGAATAAAGGCATCATACTAGAAAGATCCTACTTTGATGGTTTTTATATGAGTGCCCTCAATGAATTACTCCTCCAAGTGTATTTGCCTGTAACCTTGACTTTGAACTTGGACATGTGACTTTCTCTGACTAGTGAGATGCAAAAAGCAGAGGGATGTTTCTCTGACTAGTACATTAGATGCAAGCAGAAGGTTAATAAGCAATTGTGTTTAGGAAATTTGTCTGGAAGTCAGTTCTCATGTAAGAAGTATCATTATAGTGCTAAGAAAAAAACCCAAGCTAGCCATGTGGAGGCACATGAAGAAAGGTGAGGCAAAGGTTTCTAATTCTAYGTGAGGTGTGAGGGATGGACTGAAGAGGCCATCTTGGACATTTCAGACACAGTACCACATGGAAAAGGAAAACTACCTATCAGGCTAGCTTAGGTTGCAGAATCATGAAAAAAATCATGCAATTATTCTCAAGTACCAAATTCGACTGATTTGTTATGCTGCAGTAACTGAGATAATGGTGTTTACTGCAATGATGTGTTTTGTGTTGAATCTTGGGTCTATACTTCAAGTAAGAAACCAGTATATCCTCTATACTTAGAGCAAATCATGACCTTCTTTGAATTGGCTTTTAACCTTTAGGAGAAAACAAATTCTGAACTTTGAAAATGTTGTTGTTGTTTTCTAGGGTAATATGTTTTCTGGCCAAAATATCTCTTACAGTTTCTCCAATAAACCTAGTTATTGATGATTAGCTAGTTATTCAACATCATTACCTAGTCACAAATTAAGCTCTTATTTTTTATAAGGTCTAAAAAAATAACCTTTTATTTTGTTAGTGTGTCCAAGAGGAAGTTACTATGTGTTTATGCCACTGTGGGGGTACTTTTGACTGCTATTTCACAAAGTCAAAACTCTTTCATCAATTGGTTTAATTTATTCCTAGGAATATAGATTTATCTTAAATGTAGACAGTTCATTATTACATGTMACTCATTGTTTGGAACACCTAACAAGCATCTTCATAAAATTCTAATYGACCACAAAAAAAATAAGTGAATAATATATCACTGTAGAGAAAATAACAGATATTTATTTTCATATTAAAAAAAAGTGACTTGGGGGCTGGAATCATAGCTTAGCAGTAGAGTGCTTGTCTTGCGTGTGTGAGGCACTAGGTTCAATTCCCAGCACCACATATAAATAAGTAAATAAAATAAA